CCCTATGGGGCGGCCTACGATGCTGCGTCCGCCGTGTCCTCGGGAATCCCGCATGGTCCGGTCGATGCCCCGGCTGCTCCTGGCTACGAGGCGTCTTTGGCGCTTGCTCCTCCTCGTGTTGATGATCCGATGATGGGCCTTCATGCTCCTGCGGGTTATGCTCCGGCGCCATCGCCGTTTTACTTCTCGCATCTCCTTTCGGTAAAGCTTACGCCGGACAACTACTTGTCGTGGCGGGCGCAGGTGCTACCCCTCCTCCGGAGTCGCTACTTGGAGGGCTATGTTGATGGCTCCATCCCGTGTCCGCCGCCGTATCATCCGGCTCATCACGTGTGGGTGGCTCAAGACCAGGCGATACTTTCTGCCATTCAGTCCTCGCTCACTCCGAGCGTATCGTCACTTGTCATCTTCGCCGTGACATCTCGGGATGCTTGGTCTGCGCTTCACAGCAGTTTTGCCTCTCAGTCTCAGGCGCGTGCTCACTCTATCCGCACTGAGTTGGGGGAGACCAAGCTCGATGGCCTCACTATCACGGAGTACTTCAACAAGATGTCCGGTCTTGCCGATACGCTGGCCTCAATTGGCCAGCCCCTTGGAGATGAGGATTTCACCACCCATGTGCTTAATGGCCTTGATGATGACTATGATAATCTTATTGAGAACGTCCATGGTCGCGAGGCGCCTCTCCCGCCACGGGAACTGTACGCGCGTCTTCTTGGTCGCGAACAGCGCATCAAAGCGCATAGAGCTGCTCCGAGTTTTGCCTCCGCTAACGCCGCGACCCGCGGCAAATCATAGAAGCCGTCGCTCCCTGCCAAGCCGGCGGCTCCATCTCAGCAGACTTCGCGGAGCACCGCACCATCCATCACAGGCGGATCGCGGCCAGTGGCGTGCTGCCCATGTTGCGGCGCTCAGCAGGCCTGCCAACTGTGCGGCATAGAGCGCCACATAGCTTCTCGCTGTCATCGCCGCTACAAGCAAGATTTCCTTGGCCTCGGCAACAATGGCAAGGGGAATGAAAAACAGGCGGCTGCTGCGGTAGTGAGTCATGAGCATGGACGTACTCCATCCTACTCGATTGATCCTACATGGTACATGGACACTGGAGCTACGAACCACCTCACCAACGACATGAGCAAGCTTTCCACTCAGGAGCCATATCGCGGCCATGATCAGGTGCACACCGCCAACGGAGCAGGTATGCGCATCTCCCATGTTGGTCAGGCATCCCTTCTTGCACACAATTCACGAAAACTGCATCTCTCTAATATCCTTCGTATTCCCACTGCTTCGCGTAGTTTGTTGTCTGTTCCACAACTTACTCGTGACAATAATGTCCTTGCTGAGTTTCATCCTTTTCGTTTCTTTATCAAGGATCGGAACACGAGGGCCGTTCTGCTTAGCGGTCGTCTTCGCCGTGGCTTGTATGCACTTGACGCGCCGACCGCACCTCCCATGCAGTTTTCTCCTCAGGCGTTCAGTGGTGTTCGTGTCTCACCGACACATTGGCACGCGCGACTTGGTCATCCTGCTGCTCCCATAGTCCGTCATGTGTTGTATCGTCATGAACTACCGGTTGTGTCAAATAAAACTGCTGAAACTATTTGTGATGCCTGTCAGCAAGGCAAGAGTCATCAACTCCCGTTTTCAGAGTCTAGTCGTGTTGTGAAACATCCTCTTGAGCTTGTGTTCTCTGATGTATGGGGTCATGCCCAAACGTCTGTCAGTGGCCACAATTATTATGTCAGTTTCATTGATGCTTATAGTCGGTTTACTTGGCTCTATCTTATTAAGAAAAAATCTGATGTGTTTGATGTGTTCATACAATTCCAAGCACATGTTGAGCGTCTCCTTAGCCAGAAAATTATTCATGTCCAAAGCGACTGGGGGGTGAATATCACAACCTCAACTCGTTCTTTAACAAACTTGGGATTGCTCATCGTGTGTCTTGTCCTCATACACATCAGCAGAATGGGACTGCTGAACGTAAGCATCATCATCTTGTAGAAACCGGCATTACTTTATTAGCTCATGCCTCCGTACCTTTTAGGTTCTGGAGTGATGCTTTCTCCACTGCCTGTTTTTTGATCAATAGGCTGCCCTCACGACTACTGAATATGAAAACTCCGCTTGAACTCTTGCTTAATGAAATCCCAGATTACACCTTTCTCAAAGTCTTCGGGTGTGCATGTTGGCCTCATTTGCGTCCGTATAACAAATATAAGCTAGAGTTTCGGTCGAAAAAGTGTGTTTTTCTTGGGTATAGTTCCCTTCACAAAGGGTACAAATGCCTGCATGTTCCTACCAATCGCGTCTACATTTCTCATGACGTTGTATTTGATGAGAATGTGTTTCCCTTTCGCGCACTTCCGAACACATCTATGCCAGACGTTTCTTCTACCACACCTACGCCTGATCAATTTGTGGATGTTGTAAATGCTCCTGTGTTGCTTCCTAACCATGCTGCAGGTATTGGACGTGGTGCTCGTCTTGAGCTCCTTGAGGAACAGGCATCGACGCACGCTCCGAATCCGGGGGATGATCGCGTGCATGGGGCATGCATACCGAGCAGCACCCAGCAACCCGCGGGAGCTGCACCCGCAGCCGCCTCGCGGGCGTCGCCCTCGCCCGCCCCGCAGGCATCGCCCTCGCCTGTGGCCGCCTCGCGGGCATCGCCCTTGCCCGCCATACGGGCGTCGCCTGAGCCCGCTTCGCAGGTGGTGTCTCCTGGGCCGGCCACTTCCTCTCCTGGCCCAGGAACTTCGGCGCTTGATGGGTCGGCCTCGCCGGGCCACACACCGCCCGCCTCTCCAGCGCCAGATGGCTCTGGCGTGAGCCTGTGCGACTCGGCCTCGCCCCTGTCGTCTCCTGCATCAAGCCCGACGCCGCAACCACAAACTGCTGCTCCTCGACCTCGCACACGCAGCCAGACTGGTGTTTCTCAGCCCAAGATCCGTACCGATGGGACTGTAGCGTGGCTCGCCGCGTGCATGGCTCATGCTGCTGAGGATCCCACTGCTGAGCCTCGCCATTTTCAGGCTGCACTTGGCATTCCTCACTGGCGTGCTGCGATGGAACAGGAGTTTCAAGTGTTGCTGAAGAATGACACCTGGCAGCTTGTTCCCCCCGTATCTGGGGTCAATATCATTGATTCTAAGTGGGTGTTTAAAGTTAAGAGACATGTTGATGGCTCCATCGAGCGTTACAAAGCAAGGCTAGTGGCTAAGGGCTTCAAACAGAGGTATGGTCTTGATTATGAAGACACGTTTAGTCCAGTTATCAAGCCCACTACCATTCGCTTGCTGCTGTCCCTTGCTGTTACTCGTGGATGGTTTCTCCGTCAGCTTGATGTGCAGAACGCTTTCTTGCATGGAGTCCTGGAGGAGGAGGTCTATATGCATCAACCGCCAGGGTTTGTGGATCCTGCACGTCCTCATCATCTCTGTCGTCTTTTTAAGGCGCTCTATGGGCTTAAGCAGGCTCCTCGTGCCTGGCACGCACGACTTGGCTCGGTTTTGAGGGCACTTGGGTTTATTCCCTCCACTGCTGACACATCGCTGTTTCTTCTTCAGCGTCCTGAGGTTACGATGTACTTACTGGTCTATGTTGATGATATTATCCTCATCAGTTCCTCAGATGTTGCAGCAGATCGTCTTGTGGCTGCGTTGAGTGGTGATTTTGCTGTCAAGGATCTAGGTGCTCTGCACTTCTTCCTGGGTCTGGAGGTTTCACGTTCTTCTGCTGGAGTAACTCTTACTCAGAAGAAGTATTCTCTGGATTTGTTGCGTCGTGCTGGTATGTTGAAGTGTAAACCTGCCAGTACTTCGATGTCTGCCACTGATCGGTTGTCTGCTCTTGATGGAGACCCTCTCTCACCTGATGATGCCACTGAGTACCGCAGTCTTGTTGGAGGCCTGCGGTATCTTACTATCACCAGACCAGATGTCTCTTATGCAGTCAATCGTGTCTGTCAGTTTCTTCATGCACCCAGGACATCTCATTGGTCAGCTGTGAAGCGCATCCTGCGTTATATCTGTCTCACTGCGTCCTATGGTTTGCTCCTCCAACCTGCGCCGTCTTATGAGATCTCAGGGTATGTAGTGTTTCTTGGCTCTAACCTGATCGCTTGGAATGCTCGCAAGCAGGCTACGGTGTCTCATAGCAGTACTGAAGCTGAGTACAAAGCAGTTGCTGATGCGACGGCTGAGATCATTTGGGTTCAGTCTTTGTTGAGAAAATTGCGAGTCCCTTCGGCTCCTTCTCCAGTGCTTTGGTGTGATAACATTGGTGCTACGTACTTGTCATCTAATCCAGTGTTTCATGCTCGGACGAAACACATTGAGGTTGACTATCACTTCGTTCGAGAGCGTGTTGCACAGAAGCTGCTTAGCATCAAGTTCATCTCATCAAAAGATCAACTTGCTGACATCTTCACGAAGCCTCTCCCACAACCACAGTTTGTAGGCTGCAGGCGCAATCTTAACTTAGTTTGTACTTCAGGCCACAGTTAAGATTGAGGAAGGGTGTTAAACTATATATGTATACGTAGACTTGTTTATACGTAGACTTGTGTATACACCTTGTACTTGTACCCTTTGATACATATATATAATGAGATAGCCGCACCCCCCTTGGGTGTCGAGCAGTTGCCCAATATTGTGGTTTAACAGGCTGAAGCATGGCTACGTCTACGTGCATCCTCGTTTGAAGCGCGGCCGGCGAGAGATGCATGGGATCACTGTCGTGGTAGCCAGCAGCTCTGACCAAGCCGCCTTGGAGCGGGGTGAAATTGCCGGCGTAATTGTGGTCGACCGGACGTCGTTACGACTGATGCTGCTGGCTAGCCGCCGCATTAGAACTCCCGACGAAGCAATTGTTTATGCGCAGCCTATGTCGCACAATGGCGGCACCTATTTTAGGCGCGTAACGCTTGTTACTAGACGCACGCCCACCACAGACCACAGTCCGTGCAAGTCCGCGCATAACGCGCCACTTGGAAGATGGGCAAGTACTGCCGCCCCGTCGCTCTGTCCTCTCTCCTGCTGCTCAGCCTCTGCTGCCTGTCTCTGCTCCGGGCTGGCTCCGCCGCGTCCGTCACCGCCGGCGCCACCGACGGCAGCGAGCTCTGGGGATACGTCGAAGTCCGGCCAAGTAATCCACGTGCTCCGTTCCCTATATACGCTGGTCTGGTCATCGTTTCGTTGGCGCGAGAGTCTGAGGCTGCTTTTGGTTTTTGGTGTGTGTTGCAGAGGCTCACCTCTTCTGGTGGTACTACAAGAGCCCGCAGAGGGTGTCCACGCCGTCAAAACCATGGCCCACCGTCCTCTGGCTGCAGGGCGGCCCGGTACACCATCATCTTCTCTTCTCTTCTTACTTACGTACCTATGCCGGAGCCATGGCTGCCCACCGTACCACCGAAAGCTCACCGTCGATGTCTCTCCGTCGAGCAGGGAGCGTCCGGCGTCGGGATCGGCAACTTCCTGGAGGTCGGGCCGCTGGACGTCGACCTCAACCCCCGCAACTCCACCTGGCTGCAGAAGGCCGACCTCATCTTCGTGGTCAGCCAGAGCTCGAAACTCCTCTCCATATTTGTTCTTCCTGACCTGACCAGTCGAGTCGGAACGTGTTCCCTGTGTTGATGGCTGGCTCGATGCATGGCAATGGCAGGACAACCCCGTGGGCGTCGGGTACAGCTACGTGGAGAACGCCAGCGAGCTGGTGACCAGCGACTGGCAGGCGGCCGCGGACGCCACGGCGCTCCTCAGGGCGCTAGCCACGGAGGTGCCCGCCCTGCGGGAGGGCAGCCCGCTGTTCCTCGTCGCCGAGTCCTATGGCGGCAAGTACGCTGTCACGCTCGGCGTCTCCGCCGTCCGGGCCATCCGCGCCGGCGAGCTCAACCTCACGCTCGCCGGCGTCGCGCTCGGTGACAGCTTCATCTCGCCGGAGGACTTCGCGGTGAGCGAAATGGTTTCTTGGATTTCTATTTGATCTCATCGCGTAGCATAATGCGTTGTTAAGATTAATAAGAGCGCTCTTTTGGATGGATGGATCGGAGCAGCTCTCCTACGCGCCGCTGCTGCTGGACGTGTCGAGGCTGGACGACAACGCCGGCGACGCCGCCAAAGGGTAACATTCGAGCTACCATGCCTACCTTCCTGCCTTCTTGCTTAACACGGCAAAAAAAGGAAACATATATTCGGACTCACCGATCACATGCATGCATGCGCGCGCAAACTCTGACCAGGATGGCGGCGACCGTGAAGGAGCAGATCGCTGCGGGGCAGTTCGCCGCCGCGTGGAAGTCGTGGACGGACTTGCTTTTGTTTATCGAGTCGAAGAGCGCCAGCGTTGTAAGTGTGAACTAGCTTTCAACTAACTTAGTGTAGCTTTCAACTAGCTTAGTGTGGCTTTCAACTTCTTTGAAAACCTTAGGGGGTTTTGTTTTCCCCTTTGTAGGACACCTATAACTTCTTGCTTGAAGCCGGCATGGACCCGGTGTCAGCGGCCTCTTCGTCATCGGTGGCGGCGGCGAGCAATGCCCAGACAATGAAGTACTCGACGTACCTCAGCCGCAAGGAGGCTACATCTAGCCCCAACACCTTAAGCGGCATCATGAATGGGGTCATCAAGGAGAAGCTCAAAATCATCCCCAGTAACCTCACGTGGCAAGGGATATCTGAGCTGGTCTACAACGCGCTGGTCAATGACTTCATGAAGCCTAGGATAGACGAGGCAAGTGAGCCTGGCTCCAGACCGACCGACAAATATTTGTTCATTTTACTTTTGTTTTGTTAAACTACGACGAAAGGGACGATGTTTCACTAATTGATGAACTCTCTGCAATTTCCACAGGTTGATGAGTTGTTGTCTTACGGCGTGAATGTGACAGTGTACAATGGCCAGGTGACTGTTGCTCTTCATTTTTGCTTAATGTCTCTGGCAAATAGTACCTATAAAAACCTTGACATTTTTTTGTGTGCTTGTGAATTATTATAGGCGTAATGTTAGTACATATATATTTGTTGATTGTTCATGAAGTTTATTAATAGGAGTAATGAAAGAACATTTAGTCAAATTACAAATCAAATCACCGTGAAATTTTCTTGAAATATTACTTCCAATTTAGAAAGAGAAATGGTGTCACCATGCAATTTACAAATGGAAACTGGCTAACTTGTAACCAAGACACTAAAAACGACTTGATTTCATCTTCGGTGTGAAGCAAATGGTTGATTGCTACGAATGGTCGATGTACTGTCAATTGGACGAAGGTACCAGATTAGCAATGGAAGCATTTTGAGTAAGAAACGGCTCCTGAATTTGAGATGAATTTTTTTTCTGAATAAAATGTTCACATGAACTTTCGTCTTTCAGTTTAGAGACAACCACTCCCACGGTCCACATTCTATACCCAGCTATTTCCAAATGAATAGCATTTCATGAATGGGCGTAATTTATGTAAGTCTCTATTTATAGTACTAGAAGTCCAACAAATTTATTCTTGTGAAGCTTGATGTGATCTGCTCGACGATCGGCGCAGAAGCATGGGTGCAGAAGCTCAAGTGAGGCCCTCAATTCCTCTGTCACGCTTCACCTCGTCGTTCAGATAGGTGTGAGCCCTCTAATCACGCTTTTGTACTTTCAGATGGGAGGGGCTAAAGAACTTCACAAGACTGCCAAGGCAACCCCTGTACTGTGGGTCCTCCAAGGTCACCCAGGCCTTCGTCAGATCCTACAAGAACTTGCATTTCTACTGGATCCTTCGAGCCGGACACTTTGTAAGCTCATCAACATATATGCTTCCCTCCTTGGTGTCTTATATGATGCTCTTGAGCTGAAGTTGATATTGGTGCATGTCTGATATTGCAGGTGCCTGCTGACCAGCCTTGCATTGCACTGAGCATGATAGGTAGCATAACCCAGTCTCCGGCAAGTTAGATGATACACCAACTATAGCTCTATTGTACTTTTTTTTGGTGGGGTAGCTCTATTGTACCATCTGCGAGAAGATAAATGGTGATCATGATTCAGTGAAAACCCATGTTCCGACCTTTGCTGATTGGATTTGGGAACAACAGCGTTGGCACATCATTCCCTTCTTGGAGATGCTTCTATAGGAGACTTGTATTCCTGGTATTGTCATGGTTTGGTTGATGTGTCTGCTTGGTGTGTGTCACCATTTCTCTTTCCTTATATATTTCTAATTATTTTGTTGTGTGAATCCTCGATGTTTTGAATAGCTCTTCATATCGTGTTGTTATAGAGAGCTAGGTGTAATTGATATCTTCTTAGTATTAGTATTTTTTCTTATCAGAAAATAAATCATTGCACCAATGCTAAAATCCAAAATAAAAAGACTTTCCGCCGACTGAGTTAGTCGCCATTGTTGCTGCCCTTCTTCGTCTTCGGTGACCTCTCTCGTGCCTCCTGTTGTGGCTGCCTTTTGCACCTCTTGTTGCTTGTGACCCCCTCAACAGAGACCGAGGTGGGTCGATAAAAATTGTAGCAAAGAAAATGAAAACAAAAGAAACACTATTTTTCCAATGTTAAAGGTCCAAAGGTTGATTTAAATGTTTTTTCATGAAGAAGTATATTACATACAACCCCGTAAAGAAAACTATATTACGTACTCTATTTAATATATTTGTATCATGGCGTGTACATCATCCTAAACTCGAAAAGAAACGAGAGAAAACGGAAGAGGAGGGGGACGTTGAGTAGAGGAGCAGCACAAGCATCAGCCTCGAGCCAAGCCAAGAATCGCATCTCAGGGGCCCACCTGACCTCTCAGGTCCACGCTGTTTCCTCGTTTGGCCCCACCTGTCAGTGTCTTGCAACGCCTGCTAATTAGCTCATAAAGGTAGCGGGAGCATAACGGCACGGCCCGGAGATCGGACGCGCGCAAACGCACGCCGACGGACCGGCCGGCCATGTCGTCCATGGCCGACGACGGCGAGCGGCTCGAGCTCCTCCACGGCGACCTCGACCTGACCATCCACGAGGCGTGCGGCCTCCCCAACATGGACGTCCTCTCCACCATCCTCCGCCGGCTCTGCATCCGGCCCCGCCGCCTCCCCAGCCGCAACATCGACGCCGACACCGACGCCGACAGCCCCCTCCGCCGCCGCCGCCGCCGCCGCCGCCAAAAGCCTCGCGGCCGCCACAGCATCGTGCCGACATCCGACCCCTACGCCGTCGTCGCCGTCTCGGGGCCGGACGGCCCGGACACCACGCTCGCGCGCACCTACGTCGTCCGCAACTCCGAGGCCCCGGACTGGTCGGCGCGCATACGCATCCCCCTCGCGCACGAGGCCTCCCGCCTCGTCCTCCAGGTCAGGGACTCCGACCCCTTCGGCTCCGACCTCATCGGCTTCGCCACCCTCCCGGCCGCAACCCTCCTCGACGGCAAGCCCATCGCGGACGCCTGGCTCCCGCTGCTCCGCCCGGACGGCCGCGGCCCGCCGAAACCCAACTCCGCCATCCGCGTCTCCCTCACCTTCACCCCCGCATCGTCGTCGCCCTCCCGGCGGCGCCGCTTCGGCGGCGTGCCGGCGTACTTCCCGGCGCGGCGCGGGTGCGAGCTGAAGCTGTACCAGGACGCGCACGTGGCGGTGGGGGCGCCGTGCTCGTACGAGCGCGGGCGGTGCTGGGAGGACGTGTGCATGGCGGTGCTGGGGGCGCAGAAGCTGGTGTACGTGGCGGGGTGGGCGGTGGGCGCGAGGGTGCGGCTGCTGCGGGAGGAGATGTCGCCGGAGATGGCGGAGAAGGCGGCGGAGGTGAGGGCGCTGGCCGGCGTGGAGGTGGAGAAGATGGCGCTGGGGGATCTGCTCAAGTACAAGTCGCAGGAGGGCGTCCGCGTCTGCCTCCTCGTCTCTGACCATCACGACACTCCCCTGCACCCCAGCTTCTTCCTAAACACGGTAAGATCAGCCTGCTAGTGCGTAATTGGCGATTCCAATGGAATTTCGTCAAAATTTAGCAAATTTCAGCGAGTTCAGTACGTGCCAACATATTTGCAGTTCGATCAGGTTATCTCAGTTAGAAATGAATTGGGGCCAAATTCCAACTTTTG